GTATAGTATAGTATAGTATAGTATAGTATAGTATAGTATAGTATAGTGTATAGTATAGTATAGTATTTATGTAGTGTAGTATAATATTTTTCATTGTAAAATAAATTTGACAGTCTTCCTTTTGGTTAATCTTGAGAATCCAGGCAACATTTTTAAATTCCCAAAACATTTCAAGGATCAGACTTAATATTTTCCACATTAGATACAGAAGACATCATCACCGGAAACTAATTCAATGAAACAAGTCTTTTTTGAAGAAATGAATATTGTCTGCTGCTTTGCATGCCAGAGTTTTAGAAAATAATTTGTGCGATTGGTTAGAGCTCTGAATATATGTTGAGAATGACTCTCAGCTACTACCACATCAAATCTAAACTCAATTTATGAAGAACCAAACCTTAATTAGAGCCATTTTTGTGTTTGCTGTGACAGTTATCTGGATTCTCTGCAAAAGTCAACCAAGTGTAGATGTCCAATTATGAGTTTCATTAAAATCTAACCAGTGGTTGATGAGATATTTTGCTAACAGACAAATGAAGACACACACACAGACAAATGCATGATTTCCTGTCTTTTATGGTGGTAGAAAATAAGAGAAAGCTGAGAAACATACTAATACAGTGCACAAACTATGGCAAGATTAAAAAAACAAATGCACCCTGGTTTTACAAATGAGCAAATGGTTTGCAAATCAAGTGTAAAAACCTGGCACATCCATCCATTATCTTTACTCGCGTCTTCCTTTACAGGTCACGACTGTCACTGGTGCCCATGTCCAGCAGTCACTGTGTGAGAAAAGGGGTACACCCTGGACAGGTCTCCAGTCCATCACAGGGACACATAGAGAGGGACCCACGAGACAAACAACCATTCACTCTCTCTCACACGGGACAATTTACAGTTACCAATCAGACTAACATGCATGTATTTGGTATGTCAGAGGAACCGGAGTACCTAGAGAAAACCTGGGGCAATTTTAGAAAAGTAAGACTTCACGGTATAATCAAAAGTTAATGTACAGCACACTCAGACAACTGAGGCAACAACTTATTTTAGTGTTTCTACATGTAAAGGAGAGAGCCAGGTCACTTCAATATCAGTAAAATTTTCCTTTAGGCAACTATTTTTGGTCATACCATTGCAAAATTGTTCAAAAGAACAGATGGTCCATATATAAATATTTATTAGAAACATGCTTTAAATTAGGGTCAGCATGGTGGCGCAGTTGGTAGAGCTGCTGCCTCTCAGCAAGCAGGTTGCTTCGGTTCAAATCCAGCCCAGGACCTAGGGTGGAGTTTGAATTTTCTCTCTGTGTGCGCATGGGTTTTCCCCAGGTACTCTGGTTTCCTCCCACAGATGAAAAACATGCATGTTAGGTCGATTGATAACTCTAAATCACATGTGTCAAACTCAAGGCCTGGGGGCCAAATGTGGCCCTCGTGGACATCTTATCTGCCCCCCAAAATGATACATATGTTAATCATAAAATACTTTTGTCACTTGATTTTTTTTTTTCAGTAATCTTTGATTATGATGTCCAAAGTGCAGCAGGGAACATCAAATGAGACCAATCAAACTCTTGTTGAGGAACCTACAACCAAGAAAAGATGTCGGGTATTTAACTTGAGTTAATGTAGATTCTGAAATTACGTAGCCCTTAGTTTGAAAAAGGCTTTAATTTTGGCCCCCTTTTGTAAGTGAGTTTGACACCCCTGCGAGTCTAAATTGTCTCTAGGTGTGAGTGAGAGAATGAATGGTTGTTTGTCTCGTTTGTCTTTGTGTCCTTGTGATGGACTGCAGACCTGTCCAGGGTGTCCACCGTCTCTCGCACAGTGACGGCTGGACGTGGGCACCAGTGACCCCTGTGACCTGAAAAGAAAGAAGCGGTTAAAGATAATGGATAGATGTATGGATGCTTTAAACTAAATTAACCTTAAAATGTTTCACACTACAGTACTGACTTGCATAACAACATTATAAAGTGCATCCTGGGAAAGAACAAGTTTCATCTGCTACATTGGCACTACAGTAACGCATGTCTGAAAAATTTAGACATACCAAAAGTTTTCACGAAGAAGAAGTTTTAAGTTTAATTTTGAAGTTCAATTAAAAAAAATTAGCCATGTCTAGTGTCTGTAGGCAAACAATTCTATAAAATGAAAGACTGTTCTCTCTTTGACGCAAACTGAGATGTGAGAACGGCCAACAAAGCACTGCTTGTGTATCACAGTCTAAAGGAAGGTGCGCATTATGTCAGTGAGGCTTGATATGTCGGTTATCAATGTGAAATGCTGTCATTTTAAAGTGTCCCCTGCCACACACTCCTGAGGTGACAGAGGATGGTACAAAGTCCTCTGTCACCATTTTAATCCACGGAACAAATTCCAGGCAAACACAAGTGTGGTGTTAAAGTTGGTGCAAATAAAGCATTATGATGGGAAGCTCAGATTCTTGTAAATATTGAAATCGAGGAATTGACCACATCATGACCACATCAAGTAGAATCAGCTTCAAAAACAAACATCAAAGAAAACACACCTACAGCACCCTGTTAATCCACTGATCAGTAGACTAGACTCCTGACAAAAACTACCTTCTTTATTGACAAGGACTCCAACAATCACTAATTTGTAAAAAACTAGTACTGTGTGCATCTCAGCATGGCTCCAAACTGCCTGAACTGTCACAGAACTATTGAGCATTTTGATGCCACATTATCACTTATCTAAACCTCTCCCGCTACTTTAAGACATCTTTATCTTCCAGGTGACCCATTATCAGACCTTTTGCTGTTTTCAAGCAAAGCTTCATCAGTAAAGACCAGCAAGGGTCACAGAAATGCCTGAAGCTTTCATCTTAGCTGTGACAAATATGTTATTGTCACTTTCTA